CGTCTCTTGACAGCTATAATACATTGAGAATTTATTTATTTAGTTATTTCTTTATTTTAAAGATTTTAGATGAATCAATAAAGAGGACATGCGATACATTAATTTATAAAATGATCACTTTAACCCAATTAAAAAATATACCAATTTCAAAATTCACCTATTATTTTAGTCTTGTAATACGTTTCTATGACCTAATCAAATTCCAGTTTTTTGTTTTCTGAGTTATTTAAGGGTCTCGGGTTTTCTCAGACCCCAACATGAAAGTTAACAGCTCATTTCTTCTCTTCAACAATTCCAGTAAAATAGATATGTATTTTGAGTTATAGCAGGTTAGTAATCAGTTCAGAAGTGATCAGCAGATGTGCCAAAATGTATATGAATTCCTTGAAATAAAAGAGCTATAAATGTGCAGAATGTTTTGAACTTTGTCACGCAGGTAATTCCATTCACGTCTATTTAATGAAATCAAAGCATTTCACCGTTGTTGGCCATTTGAACATTGCCTAGTGTGATGGGGGAGTGCGTTTTTGAGTCATGAGTCAAAACATAACTTACTGAAAAGTTACAAAAACAAAAAAAAAAACACCTGAAAAAGTGATTTCCCCTTGAATGTTTCCTATACCCCCACGTCCACGTGATGTCTGAACTGACTTCACTCTGACCCAGGACAGTAGCTTTGCTGGGGGCACCCCCCTGAACGCTAGCTCTGTGGGGCTGCTTAAATCAGAACTACATGATGATGAAATTTACGGGATCCATCCTATAGATCTCTGGTAGAGAATGAGTCAGCTCATGAACTAAGGGCATGACGTGACCATGCAAATCACACAGATTCCCAGTATCAGCCTCTTGGTCGCTAGACACATGAGAACCTTTCAGTTTTGTTCGCTGAATTTGACATCACACCAAGGCTTTTTGACATGCTCACTCGAAAGAGATGGATGCTGTATAGAAACATTGATGATACACGGGGATCTAACTTTTTTACTATTACGGTTTCATATAAAACTATACAATAACATGTTGAAAAAGCTCTTAATTGCAATCACAGAAAGACAGGTATCTGTTAGGTTTTCTGTCATGTTGACAGTCATACTCTACGGTCTTCAGGAAACTTTTCTGGAATGCACCCAGCATGACAAGATCATCTCGGAACTTTTCCTGTTGTACAAAAATGACTCATGGGATCGAATCAGACAGACCAGTGTAAACGAACTGACTTGGAATTCCCTCTGTATTCCACCAGACAACAGCAGCAGCTGCCAGTCAGACGGGTTTATTACAAATATGTACTGTATGGGATCCTTATCATCCTGGTCTGGTTTTGTTTTCCTTTTTACTTTTTCAGGCATGGCAATTTTATTTCAGTTTCAGACTAACTCAGTCACACTTGAGGTTCATAATTCGACAGCTATGGAGTTATTCATCTTGAATATACTGTATGTTGTATGCTTAATAATAATAATAATTAATAAGCAATAATTCAGTTATTAACGATTCTCCGTGTTATTTGATGAGCAAAATGGAACAGATAGAATCAACACATTGTAAACATAAAAATATCAGATATTATAATATAAATAAGCAGAATATGGTGTATTTTACTGACAATTTACATCTGGATCAGGTTTCAGTGCATTTCAGTCATTACAAAATACACATTATGATGCTCTTTTAGTGGAAGAAAGCCACTTACTGAATTTGCGTGAAGTTTGAATAAAAATGTAATTTTTTAAATTTGATTATGTAATCCTTTTATAAAAGCCGCAAGGCTCAAGGCATGATGCATTATGAATCTAGTTATGACTGAAAGGTTTGTTCATACTCTGTTGCTTAGGCAGTGTTATTTTAGTATCATTGAGATACTATTATAGTTTTTATTAATATCTTGAATTAGTTTTTATTTTTATATTTCAATTACATTTAAGTAATTTCGATGTTTTGACATTTATATTATTAATATATATATATATATATATATATATATATATATATATATATATATATATATACTAAATGACAACTAGCAATAATAAAGTAATAAAGTAATCTAATTATAAACTTATTTCAAGTAGCAAAACATTTTTTTGGTTTTAGTTTTAGTTTTTGAATGCTGCTCAGTATATTATTTGATATATATATATTTACTAAATGACAACTAGCAATAATAAAGTAAGTATAAGATCTAATTATAAACTTATTTCAAGTAGCAAAACATTTTTTTGGTTTTAGTTTTAGTTTTTGAATGCTGCTCAGTATATTATTTGATGTTCTTCTGCCCGAAGCTTTTAGCACACTGGAAGTGCACTACAACAAAAATGCTCAAGTTGTGACTGAGAATCAATGTGTAGGCTGCACATTTTATGTCTAGCATGTAACTTTGCACAGCATGCTATTTTCAGAGCCGCGCTACAGGCTGTGCGTTAACGTCCCGCCCACGCTGCCCCCGCATCACTGAAATGTCACCTCTTCCCCACACCAAATATCCCCTCCCTCTCTGACACAGGCAGCGATGCACTCTTTCCTTCCCGCTGTGAGTCAGTAGAGCTCTTGAGGGGGTTTGGGGCTTGCCTACTTCTCCAGCAGTTTGACTGTGGGCCACAGAAACGGCTGCGAGTTGACTTTCAGAATCACATAATTTGAAAGAGCCACAAAGTTTTAAGCAGGCAGAAAAGACACAAAGACAGCAATGTTGTAACTCAACCACAAAACTTCCTGTGACGGAATAGTTTGGTTTAAATGGCACAAAATTCACCTTGGGTTTATGCAAGGTTTTTGTCACGAATCCGGTCCATGAACTTTCCTTTTCATTGACTCTCGCACCACCGACTTCTAAATTTAGAGTCAGCCAAAAATGATACCAATCTGCTACACATGTATAATACACAATATTAATACATAGATATTAGCATACTAAATATATATATATATATAAACTACTGAATGTTGAAGTAACTACAAAATGGAGACTGAAACGGCTTTATCAAACAACACTGTTTATTTATTTATATATACTGTATATGCTTCATTAGCAGAGGCCTGTTACAGTATTAATACGTTATGGTATCTGGTCTATCCAATGGTGCACATTTCCTAACCCTCTTCCTGGAAGCAACCGAAGGGTGCAGTTCAATTAGACTGTAAGTGTCCTGCAAAGTGGACTTCACAGGGTCTTCCAGCATCTTCACTGAGATTGCAGTCTGAAAGGAAACAAAAATGAAGGACACTGCCAATAAAGAGGAAGTAGTGAGGGGAATTTGGGTGGGTCAGATGCGGGAAATATCCAGAATGTGCACTGTTGCTGTACCTCCTGGAACAGGGTTGGAAAACACTGCTTATACAGCTTGCTGTTAAACAATCCTTACCCCCGATGATAGCACCTTTTGTTTATTCAGCTATGAATAAATCCAGCTTAAGTTAGTTCAAGTTTTGTTCTCATCCGATGTGTCAGTGCAGTCAAATCGATAATGCAGTATTACAGCAGGTTGATCTAATCCCTTCGTTTTTGGAGGTGGGGAGCAACATGGAATTAACATGGGCATCCCGACTGAAATATAGTCTTTAGATCTTACTGTATCAATCCAGTGGCGTGCACTTCATCGCCAATGCTAAACTACCCTTTTGATCCTATCGAGGTGCCCCCGGATTGCGATTTCCACTGAGGGGGATTTCTTCCTGCCCCTCCTGAGGTCTGTGCACGCCACTGTATTTACCTGCTGGATCTCTGTGTGGTTTGCCCAGTGCTAAACTATTTCTTGCCAGTCTTGAACTGACTTTTTACCTGAACCATCAAAGTGGAACCTCGTGGTTTCAAGGCCCGCGTAACCTGAAGTTGTAACCCAAAGATTGCAGGTTCGAGTCTCAGGTCCGGCAGGAATTGTTGGGGGGGGGAGTGAATAACCAGCGCTCTCTTCCACGACTGTGGTGAGACTCTTGAGCAAGAACCGAACCCCCAACTGCTCCCCGGGTGCTGCAGCAATATGGCTGCCCACTGCTCCGGGTGTGTGTACACTACTGTGTGTGTGTGTGTGCACTTGGATGGGTTAAATGCAGAGCACAAATTTTGAGTATGGGTCACCATACTTGGCCACCTGTCACTTCACTTTCACAAAGAGCTTCCAGAAGCATTCTCACCTGGTGTCTACACACCATTGTGTACTTCTGGGTTCAGTCAGGTGGCAGATACCCGCACAGATGCCCCTGTTGTGGGAAACATTACACAGAACCAAGCATGAGGTGCTCCTTGTAGCACATCAGTGATAGGCCACATATCTCTATATTCCTCAAGTTCCTAGTTGGAAGTTCATGGCAGCTTTCCCTCAGGACCGACCGGTTTTGTTTAGCACCCAGATTCAGCTGCAGCTTTGGGTTTGGACCCTGGATCCAACCCTTTTCTAATGGATTGTGAACTTGCAGTTGTTCACACAATTGCCAGGGTTATCTCAACATGGCAAGCCTATACCTTTTGTGGAAACCTTTCCCTTTATGGTGTAGGGACCATGGGATTGATCCTACTCTTTTGTGTGTGTTGTTGTTGTTGCATAAGGGGTTTTCTTGGACTGGCTGCTTTCGCAAGGTCAAATTTTTCTATTGCAGCTTTGACTACTTTTTCAGAGGAGTATGCAGAAATGAGTTGTGTAACTGTGCTCCTATGATTTCTGGATAGCTGCCAAAGTTTTGTTCCTTTGGCTAATAAACCTCAAAGCCCGTGCCATTTTGTGACTTTGTCTATCTGTTGTGGTGAGTTGGTAGTGGCGTCTCTAGTGGTTGTCAAGAATTCACCCGACTATAGTTACGTAATTAGTTTAGTAACAGCCATTGGCATGGTAACGTTGTTTTGCTACAACACCAAAACCATTGTTACTTAATACGTAATATACTTACCTATTACTACCTGAAGTAGTATTTTTTAAGCACCTTCAACGGTTTCTTGTTATAACATGTATTTCAAGCTACAATAAAGCAAATAAAGGTAAACGGACACAGGACAGGTGTTAATGTTTTTCTATTAAAAATAATTTATTCCAGGAATGGGACCACATATAAATAATTCTTGAAACACATTACAGTTAATATTTGCTGTGAATAAATACCAAACAAACCAAAAAAAAAAACAAGGCTTTTCATACAATACTCTATATGAAAGGTTGCACAAAATTTCTATCTTGTCATCTATGTTCCTCTAGGTCTATAACTGGAATGTCACTATGTACTGTACGTCAGAAGTACCGTTCCTAATTCCAGAGCAGCTTATTAAGTATTGTGCAAGTTTGTGATGATCTGAACTGACTGAACAGATCTAGTAGTTGACGAGTAGACACTCTTGAATTTATAATTCAACTGCAAACTTTTCTCGTGTGTATCATTTATCCAAAGCACATTTCTGTATAGGCCCACATGAATCAAAGCTAAATGTGCTTGCACAATATTGGACTTTAAGGATGGGAATAGTTCTTTATAAATGATGCCACAGGAGCTAACGCGATCCTTTCTCGTTGCGTCTGTGCAGATATTGCAGAAATATTCAAATAGAGAATGTCAGTTTGTGCATACTAAATGGACTGAGGCATTGTGTGTTTAAAGGAGAGTAGTGCAACCAAAAGAATGTGGCTGGGCAAGAAAGGCGAACGGGGAGTTCACAGATCTAGGAGCGGACACTTCTTACCTGGGTGTGTTTACGTTTGGACTGATTTGTTTTCGCTTGGCTGTTTATCCAGGCGGGGATTTCACCCATCTCATAGTTTGTTCTTGTCAAAAATGTTGACGTTTTTTTTTTTTTTTGGCATGGCCATTCCCTTCAGCTTAATTAATTTTCATCTGCTCTAGACATCGGGGAGGTGTCAAGTATCTGGTTTTCATTGCGCTTAAGGAATTGTTCAGCCACAGAAAAATGAACATCCATTCAATAGAACAGACCAAGTCATGAAGTTTAGCAAGGCAAGCAAAAGTGAAAAATAGTTTCAAGAGCAAGAAGGACTTGTGAAAATGGTAAACAAAACATTCTCAAAGGCAACAGATCCATACTGCTTGCAGACATCAAATGGTGCAGCAGGAAATGAAATTCGAGCTCTGCTTAGCAAGCTCTCATTGGCACTTAACCTACATTTTATGAATAAACTATCAAATGCTGTCCTTCGGTGGTTTCTGCATACCCTGTACTTCCAAAAGGCCTGTTGGCTTTCTGCAGGCCACAGTGGCGAAGTACATTGGCTTAGACATATCTTTCAGTTTATTAAACTTTGGTCAAATTTGTTGCTAATCTGAAATCGTTAATTGGTACACTCCTCAATAAACGTCTGCAATTAATTACCCTGTTCAGACGCCACAGCTGTGTGACTAGACGTCATTGTGTATCATTAGTTTCTGTATGCTAACATCTCACGACGGTCCTATACACATGATACAAATGAGCAAAACTTCATTCGAGAGGTAATCCCCAATTCTACAGCACCACCGGGCTTCTTTAGGCCCTGCCCAATATAGGTGGGGGATTTTGGGCAAAAAGTTCCTCGTGTAAGAGCGTTCACCAGCATGCACGCGAACGTGCGATGAACTGGGCCCTTTTTAACATCGAACCGTTCTGTTAGCCTCGGTAAATCTGCTTGAAGTGGTCACATTCGTTACAGTAGCCTTGTTTGTCTTGGTTGGCGTAGTGGTCGCAGCCCTGTGTCTTGCAGCGCTGTTTGCTTTTCTCTTTGGGCGCCTGGGCTCGCCGACCCTCTCGCTGGCCGCGGCTGAGGCAGTCCGGGCAGAGGTCCGTGCAGCCAGGTGACAGGTTCTTACAGCCGCCGCGCCGACACTGTGCTTGGGTGAGCATCGGAGGTGGACGTGCTTTCGAGGCCCGCTGGACAGAATCAACAGAGTTTGTCAGTGCTTCAGAAGAGCCAAACTAACCCCACAGCAACAAAACAAGGACACTTACTGTGACGAGAGGTGGGGAGTGAGAGCCCCTGCTAGCAGCTTGGTTGAGCCTAGCACTCTGTTCCTTCACAAAGCACTTGTTGCAGTAACCTTCGAGCATGGCCTTTCCCTCGGCGCCGCAGCCCTGACCCCGGCACCGCGGACAGTTCTGAAAGCCCGCCTCGGATGTGTGTCTGGGCTGGACAATAGCAGGGGTGGCCACTGCACAAACAAAAACAGCCAAAAATAATAAATCACACAATTGCTCTTCTGGTTGACTTGTCTATAACTTCATTCCTGTACCCAACCGGACGTGGAGACATTACAACTGATTGCACCTGAAGTGATATTTCTTGTTCATGAGAGAGTTACAAGAAGAATTGAGTGAATGCTGAACAGCTGCACTTACGGTGATTGGTCTGGTAGTCTAGATAGCATATAGTGCAGAACCCCAGCTTCTCTGGCGTCCCAAAGAATTGGCAGCCGGAGCGTTTACACTGCCGTGCAGCGGGCTTCTGCCAGGTGTGGCCGGTGTTGCCAGTGCGCTCCGTCTCCCGATGCAGTGCCCATACTGAGGCCTCGGTTCTAGGCTCCTGCTGCTGGGTGTCCCTCCTCTCGGAAACGGCAGTCCTCTGCATGCAGGGTGGGCAAAGACCATTAAATATTCTAAAGACCTCCTGCCGGCACATAACACATCTCTCGGTGTCCCTTTCTTGTTCTGTCTCCCCCTCCCTTTCCTTCTCTCGCTCCCGGCTGCCTGACGCCCACCAGCCGTGAGAGGGGCCTTGCGGCGGCCCATTAGCAGCTGATCGGTTTTGCCTCGCCGTAAAGCAGCGTTCACACAGCCCGTCATGCTCCACGCTGAGAGTGAACAAGCATCCCGGCATCTTGCACTTCATGGCATGAGTCTCACTGTAAAGGCTTAGACTGGGGGCCGTAGGGGGCGCGGAACGTGGGCTGGGCAGGACGGAGCGCTCCAGTCTCCCTCGGCTCTCGGGGTCCGAGGACGAGGTTTGATTTGTGGCGGAAATGGCCTCCGGCTTACGACCCACCTGTCGCTTTTCGAAGCATTCGTGACAGTGGGGTTGAGTGTCCACCGAGACGTAGAAGGTACAGCGGGGTGTGGCACAACGGATCTCAATGAGAGAGAGTTGGGAGACTGAGAAGGGAGGGGGACGCTGGGATTGGGGGGCCCATAAAGAATCCTTATCCTCCTGCCAGCGCTTATATTCATGGTTGACCAGTTGTAGGTAGTCCTCCATCAGGTTCATGTCTTCAGGTAGGTTGCCTTCATCCAGTCTGTCGGAGGAAGGGTTCAAGATTTAAAAAGGAACACAGTAATGTCCCACAACCTTTTAGGCACTTGTGGTTACATTTAGGAAATGCGGGAAAATATGTTTTTATCCAAAATACATGGTACACCAATTAGTACAGCTGCACTGAAGCAATCTGGGTTGCTTGGACCAGGCCACGTAAGCAAGAGCTAGCTCATACCTGGCTGCAGTGATAATCTGTGTGGGATCGTAGCCCAGGCCAATGACAGGGATTTCTATAAGCATTAGGTAGTCTTTTAGCAACTTCTCCTTCTGTTGCTGCTCCTTTTCTGTCAGAAAGTGCACTCGAAGATCTTCAAACCCACCCCGTCCAGGGTTTATCAACGGCACAGCACGGATCTCTGAATGGGTCACAAACATCAAATATTCAGATACACTGGGCCAAGTAGTAAGAACACATTATGGAGTAGCACAGTGTCTGGCGGCATACCTGGGCCGCTGTCTTTGATTGTGATCAGAGGTGCAAAGTGCTGGGAGTCGTAGCCGAGCACTATGGGATATTTGCAGCATTCTCCTGGAGGCCAATGCAAAGGCAGGTATATGCCCCCGACATTGAGGGGTGAAAAGGAGGAACCAGACTTCATACTTCTAAGTACTTGGTCTGTTGAGTAATAAAAAAATTGGTCATATATTATGATCATGTTGATGCACTTTACTTGTGTCCAAATCAGTCAGTGCTCTAATGAATAATTGTTTGTGTAATTCTATTGAAATGCTCCTTATAGAAACATCACTGTATCGGTTACTTACCTGCAATAACAATAATTGGTCTCCGAAGAATATTTGAAAGCACAAAGATGTGAATATCCTCTAATGAGTCAAACTGTAGGCCATTACTGCTGGACACTGGAGAAGCCATTTCTACAATCTTCACCCATTCCTCCTCCCAGTTCTGAGAAACAAGAAACATTGCAAATATTAACGAGTTTTACCCTCGTCATATTGAAAAACGTTTAATAAAGAGGTTCTGAAATCTCTAATGGTAGTACATTGAAAGCTGAATGTGTCACATTTGAGGTCGTCGACTTTTTATAGCTCTGACTTTTTTAGCTGGCTAGTTTCCGCCACAAAAATGACCATTTTACATGTACCCCGTGAAGGTGGAAGAGCTTACCAAAGTGCTGTATCGCAGGCCAGTCTGAGTGAACTCCTGAGAGTGCAGCAGCTCTGTTTGAAAGCGCATTCTAAAGTTACTAGTGTCTGTTTCCTTCAGCACTGCATAAAGAGCCTTTCGCAGCACCAGGTCCGTGTCCTGAACCCCCAGCAGGTATTGAGAAGCTGCGTGGAGCAGGCAGTTCCCATCACCTAAATGAAAGCACACAAACACAAATTACAGCTCAGGAGAGTCGCTAGTGAAGAGCTTGTTCTTGTGGTGCCATCAGGACGTTATTTTCCTCAGGCCCCAGAGTAATTAATCACAAACGGGCTCACTTAGTTTTTGGAACATGAGCAAACATGGCAGCATGCAGATATGCCATTATACATTAGTCGTCCCGAAGGATACCATCTCCTTACATATATATGTATTATAATGCTGGCAGATAGGCTGCAACAAATTTCCCTGGGAATCTGACTTTTGAAAAAAAACTCAGGTCATTGAAGTTCATGAAGCAGACATTCACGGCATTCAGAAAAAGGCTACGAAACTTGCAGTTCCTGTTTAAACGTCATCTAAATAGTCTTAACAGCCTTAGCAACCGGTTGACGTGCATTACAACAACAAAAAATAATACTAAGAAAATGAAAAACTACATATTCAATCTTTGCTTTGTTGTTGCGTACCGAGACAGCAATATCTTTTACACCTAAAGGTTAGTTCAGCCGTATTTTTCAAGTACAAGATTAAGCATGAGATAGCAGCAATACAGGGGATTTCCACAGAGGTGTTAAAACAGATTAAAGATACCCATTTCATCCGACTGTGTGCATATTAAAACAGGACATGTGACCATATCTCTGCAAAAGCAATGAAATCAACTCCTCAATTACACAAAAAGAAATTTGGACACGTCAGGCTACCTAGCAAAAAAAAAAAAAAAAAAAAACTCAACACTCTCTAGTCTATATACTCCTGTAAATCAATAACTTCACTGTAACCTGTAACTGTAGATCAAAGTAAAGAGAAATCGAACACTCAAAGAGCATGCGCTGCAGAGCTGTGTTCATGGCCTAGATTCTGCGTTCCTTCTGATGTTGTGCAACATGTGTGCGCAAAT